TCATTTAAAGACCTTCTTTCCATATTCAGTTATATGTCAAATACACATACTAAAAAGCTCATAACTCGCTTCAGAGGAACGCTTCGCAGCTAACGGGCTTAGGTTGGCCTTTTAAAATAAGACACATACATTTAGAATCAGCGTTCCGAGCTGATTCTAAATGTATGTGTCTTATTTTAAAAGGCCAACCTAAGCTAAGTGACTTTCCTTGTCAGATTTTAAAAATTAAAAATATAAGTGTAACAGAAATTTTCCGCCAACCTAATACTTTTTTCCGTGCCTAGATCAATTCGAAGCCCAAAAATGACAATGCAGATCTAACAAATTTCATTGGTAAAGAGAGGAGCGCCTTCGAATCTTACTCAGCACGAAAAAAAAAGACACGAGACTATGAACAAACAGAACAATGGGACCTTTGAGCCTGAAATCTTGACCTTGTACATTAGACATACCATATGTGGTTAATATCTTGGCCGACGCTCAACAAGCTAAAAAGTTTATCAACTATCGATGCCAAGATTAATAAGCAACCGAAGTTGGACAATATTAAAAGACATACCATAGCTTTGCGATAAAACTGCATGATAATGGTGGTCAGCCGCATTGAACTGTTGACAGGGCAATGACCCGATCTTGTCATTTGTACTCTTTTGATTCGCTAACAGGATGGACAATTTGCTTATCGTGACAAAGTTGCTGGCTGGACAGTCTACATGGTCACAACTTTTCCAACCCCGAAGAAGGCGATATAGCCGAAACGCAAATAATGAGATATACCAATTTTGTGCAAGCTAAACAAATCACTGAAAAACTGCGATAGTTAGTGCGCACGATGACTGAATCAGCATGTCGAATAACCCATTTGTACGCTTGCAACAAAATCTATGGTTATGACTTCTCACCGTGCAGTCTTCGTAACTCTGGAAGTCACTAACCATGCAAAAATTGCGATATGTGACCAGTATGTCAAATCCTATAGACTAAGTTCGTGCCAAGTTTATAAATTCAAAGTCTTGATCCCTGGACACGCCTACTATTCACTAATCTTACGTTCTTGCTTAGTACAGCTCGTGTTCAGCGCATACGAACACGAGCTGTACTAAGCTTTCGTGTGGAGCTGTGATCTCTACAAGGAAGTTGATCTGGAGCAAATGCAGTTAAAGGCAATGTCTGGGCAAAAAGTCGGTTTTGCGATTTTGTGCTTACCCGAGCCTATTCGCTATGCTGAATCCGAAAACCCACACTGGAGGGCGCAAAAACAAAAAAGAGCTGCAATGCAGAAGAGAAATTAGCAGGAGGCGAACTCTTCCCCACCGTGCACGCTTCCAGCTTTCGGAACGATCTTCTCGATTCCGCTAGCTGCCCCGATATCGCCACCGGCCGAGTACGAACGCGTGACGTAAAATCGGAACCAGTAAAATCACTCTGGAAGCTGTGAGCATAGATATACAGCGGGAAGACCTCGCCCACTTGGTTTTCAATCCTGCGTTAGAGCATTTTGCCGTTTTCGCTCTCCAGTGTGGGTTTGCCAGATTTTTGGATTTAGCATAGCGATAAGGCCCGGGTAAAAAATCTCAAAATTGACATTTTGCCCGGACACGCCTTTGAACAGCACTTGCTTTAGACCCATGTTGGATCCGTGTGGTCAAATTAGGTGTAGGTTGGTACGCTACGGACAGCACCAACCCGACCTGGGGGGGGGGGGGAGGTCGTCTTGGGGGTAAGAGCAAGGAGGAGGGGTCGTAATCAAGAAGCTCGTTCAAAAAAAAGTGAGGAAATAGGGTCGAATAACGTGAAGAAAAAAAGCGCTCAATCGTGAGCTTCACAACTCCACCAAAGAAAACGACTTTTGTGAAAAGCATGCTGATTAAATCGACTAACGAATTCCCAGCCAAATTTCAGTTCTTCACCTTATAGGCCGTCCGCGCAGGGCGCGGAGAGTGCGCGTGTACTGCGCGTCACTCCTCTTTCCTCGTACACTCTCGCCGCCTGTTTTCTCTGCGCTTCCTCCAGTTCGTGAACTGCCTTCGATGTACGCAAAGCGTTGTTCTCCGCGCGCAACGCGGGCGGCCTATACCTTACATATATCTAAAGGTCACCCGAAGAAGCATGTGTAAATTGGGGTAATTTCCGTAATCAGCATGCCAAATTACCTCAACGAGCTCTACAAAGCATTAACTATTACATTTTCTAGTGTTTTCTAATGCATAAAAAGCGTGGTTTTCAAATATGATTAATAACTTGGTCACAACAGTGAAAGAAGTCAGCTTCTTTTGTATTCATAACGAAGTATTGCTCTTTATCAGTCTATGTTAATTGGAAAATTGGACTTCATATCGCTTTCAAAAAATGGATTAAGAAGTGCTGCCAAGATGTTAGTCACCGAGTTTTTACCGCGTTTGCTTCAACACTCCTGATCACCGCAAAGCCAAAAGTTGAGGTCTCAGATACCTATTGTAGTCTTCGAGGTTTATGCTAGCGAATCATATAAAATTAAGGTGGAAAAGATTCTTCGCTGAAAAAGCCAATCGGGTCAGGCGCAACCCCTTAAAAGGTCAGGCTGCTTTTGCTTTTGAAGGTTGCGCGATCCTCTTAACTTGCCTTCAATATCCAGAAATCGCTCCATTTTTGGTCATAATATTGAGCTTATAGCGTCTTCTTGCTACAGTAGAAATTTGGAGCCGAACCCTCACCCCTAGAGAAACTATGGCCCTTTCAGTAGATCCATCCAGATCAAAATCAACCGCCAGTTACGACTGTAAAGTTCAGTCACAGAAAATCGGGCGACTTCTCGTAAAACTTGAGACCTCTCTAGAAAAGGATGATGTCCTTCAGAATGTCACACCCTGATGTTCCGGAAGTAGATGAGGATGAAGGGGTCGTTTAAGGGCTATCATGGGGGGGGGGATCGTTTTCAAAAGATTTGTGCCTGACCTCTTGCTCAACTCTGACGATGACCCTGTCCCCACGAACATGAAGGCACTCTCACTCTGACATTCGTTTCGGACCAACGGCGCGCAAAAAAAGCGGATTCCTACGACCCGAGCCTGTCGAGCGTATGAGCGGAGCGACACAGTCGGATTTGAGTACGAGCGGCGCCCAAATGACAAGCAGGAGTGGCCGCGTGCCCTCAAGCGCTGCTTTTCAGGCATGTCCACGTGTTCACCGTGGCTAGATAGATACCATAGCCAAAGAAAGACGTTTAATTTTGTGCGCGATCATTATTTATGCATTCGGTTATAATCTTCACAATTTTAAATCCACAAAAACTATAGCGTAATTTTCACACGTTATAAGCATAAAGGATACTTGCGTAAGGTACGGTGGTTAGGCTGCACTCCATGCTAATTGCTTTGGATGTGTTTATGTACATCCTTCCACAAGAACATAATCGAAAGTTGATAAGACCTTTGTGTTGCTCAATCTTTTAGCCGGGCGTGATTTCCGGAACTGCTATATCGGTGGCGCTAGATAGCACAGAATTGTCATCAGCGATACAAGCACGAAATTACCATTCCAGCGGCGCCGAAGTGACAATGTATCAGCGGCGCGAAATTCGCGTATCACTCGAGCGCATTTAGCGGACGAGCGGTTACGGGTTCCGCTTGTACGCAATTTCGCGCGGCTCGGAACGAATGTCAGACGTGCGATACCTCGTGACATGTTCAGTTGCACATACACAAAGAATGTTCCGCCTGTAGGCGTAAACTTTTACGAACTTCAATTATAAGCAGTGCTTGTCGACTTTTGCATTCTTCAGCGTTCTCGGGAGCTTTATGTACATCTCAGAGCTACTGAAGCTTCATAGGGATGGGAAAAAAACAGAAAAAAACATAGATACACACAGTGTGCAAGTTTTTGAGGGGATTTCGAAATTGCGAACTTTTGCATACTCTGCACACTTGTCCTCTTTTTATTTTCTTGCACCGTCGTTGTTTCGTGTTTACTGGCTTATTTCGAACGCATGATACTAATGTCTTTTTATGACTTGTAAAGAATTTATTTTTCCGGTGTGGGTACACTATTCTACAAGCTTCGGATATAATCGAAGCTGTAGTTATGATTGCTTATTATTCGACACAAACATCATAAAACATGGCGCTATAGGAATATTTCAATCCGCTCAACGTAAGTTCATGAAAGCTCGTTTTGGTCTTCGTTTTGGTCTTCCTGGAGTTTTTTGTCTTCTTTGTTCTCCACTTCCATATACTCCGTCTTTTTGGTGTTGAGCTTCAGCCCATACAGCTCTAACTTGTTTTTCCATTCCTGTACACGTCTTGCAACTCCTTTCTGGTGCTTGCTAGCAGGACCACATCGTCCGCGTAGAGTGTCCGTTTTCAACATTTTTCGAAGGCAGAAAATGTTTTTTTCACAAAAACGGAATTT